CTCTCTCACTCTCTCTCTCTCTCGCTCTCTCTCACTCTCTCTCTCTCTCTCTCCGTTCTTTCAAATATTCTTTAAAAATATTAATATTTTATTGATTTCTGAATAAACTATAAATAATTACATAATACATAAAATGGTTATTAAATTTTCTTTTTATCATTAGCTGACAATTCATTGCTATTAGAAGTCTTCATAATTAAGAGTCCAATCACTATAAGAGTGGATCCGATCCACCAAAGGGTCGACAAGACTTCACCGAAAAATAATGAGCCATATATTGCCTGTATTTCAATCATACCATTCATTGAATGGACACTCAATTAGACACTCTTTGATTGGTATTGATATTCAAAATTTTAAACTTAATTTGCTTTAAAATAAAGTGATTTACAGTTATGAAGAAGTTTGTGGAAGTGTTGACAACTATCACATGCAATGAATTGGTGTATCGCTTAAGAGCTTTCGTGAATTGAGTCCACATTAAGAGGTTTGTGACTATCATTGCGCCAAACATAAACATCTGAAATGTCTTTAACGCCTATCAATCAAATGAATACCATTTATACTGACAATCATATCAACAAATGTCTCATTAGTCATACGAGTGATGTGTGCGAAGAATGGCACCAATCGTTGCCACCATTTGATACACCACTCAATTGATACCCACTATTGAATAGATGGCAACAAATGGATGGACTCATTGATAGTTTGCCGAAGAATGAGGCCGTGGAGGCCAGGGCTCCAGAAGTGAGACTATAGTATAAACCGCTCGATATGACCATCTTTGACATCACCTGTCACTCAACTATTATCACCTATTGGTCCACTAATTGTCCACTAATTGGTCCACTAATTGGTCCACTAATTCAATGTATACTTCAAACTATCAAAAGTGACCAAAACTTTGTCAATTGATCCCAAAGTTAATAATTAGTCAATTGTTTTGTAAATCATATCAATTGTACGTAAACTGCAATCAATGTATTGAATGTCACACTAATTGTGATGATTGTGTCGATTGGAGTAAAACGTGACAAATGATGACAATATGTTTGACAACCAAAACACAATTGATTCACAAAAATGACACAAAATTTTGTTTATTTAAAGAGTTGTTTGCAATGAATGGGTGTATGAATAGCGAGCACTCATTGGCCCATTGCGTCAGTGCTCTCAACCCAACGACCAATGAGTGTTCGTTTCATTCATTCAAACCGTTTTGTGACAAACAGTGAGACAGTTGTGAACTGATTGACTGCTTGGAGACAAACCACACATCACTTGATTGTCCACTCAATACATACAACAACTGATCCCATGAGTGACTACGAAGAGCTCGACTCTTTCACTGAGGTTTGTGTGCAACACTTGATCACTAATTTGATGGTAATATGTCTCACATTTGCCATCATTTCAGGCTATCATCCAAAGGACTCGTGAGCGACAAAAACTGCTCAATAATGAGAGCGATGACCAGTTCTTGGATTTGTCCGCAAATGACACCAATATATTGGACACGAATGACACCAATTGTCTCAATATATTGAATGACAGCCAAAGTAATGTGGATTTGAATGAATCGCTTCCCAAAGCGGCCAACACTTCAACGGAACGATTGGTCGAGAAATTGACTGAATTATCACCGAATCGGCGAAGAGTTTCGTTGAACCAGAGGTTGAACTCAATCGCGCGATCCTATCATTCAGAGGACGCGGAGAATATGTGTTACATCGACGAGGAGGAGGACAACGAGAGGTCTGCGGCGCCCGTCAGGAGTCCCACCAAAACGATGAGACAATCGGTGAATACTGTGACCGAATCGCCGCCTAAGAAACGCCTTCATCTGAACGAACGGCTCAACCAAATCGCCAGATGTTATGACGACGACGACGAGGTCTTCAGCCCCAAAGAGGTGACGAAGACTGTCAGTGACACCAATCGTAACAAAACCCCTTCAAAGATAGCAAAGGTATCGCCGAAGAAACCAATGGTGGAAATGGTTACTAAAAGTGAGAACAAATGGGATTCAATCGGAAGTAAGAGTCCAGTGAAGGGATCGCCGCTTAAGAGGGCATCGAATGAGCGAAAGATCGTTAGTGAGAGTCCGGCCATCAATGAAAGCAAAGTAACACCGATTGTGCCGTCGGTTAAGCAGATTGTGTCCAATAATATCAGCGAAAAGTTACTGCATTTGGGTTTCCAGAAGACTACTACCGGTAATGTCTGTTCGCCACAGAAATTGATTTACAATTCAAATGATAACAAAAGGGAGACTCCGGTAGTGAACGGGTCGACGAGTGTGTCGGCCGTTCGCAAGCAATTCGAGGAAAAGCCTAAAACCCAAACACCGGAGACTCTGTCACTAAAAGGAAAGAGAGATTTGTTTGAAAAGGCCATTGAAGCCGAAAATGAGGCCAAAAGTAAACAATATTCGCGTAAACGTAACGCACCGGTGGTTACCCCTAAAGCGTTTGTTTCTGCGAGTAATGTTCGGGTGAGCCCTAAGAAGCCGATGGTTACGAAGACTCCGAGCGGAACTCAATCAGTGGCTCCCAAACAGAAAAGTAGCGAAAAGTTGGAAATCACTCCAAACGTCTCAAACAATATTCACATCAGAAAACAACTGTTGGAGGAAAGGCTGTTCGGATCGGAGACAACCACTGCCAACGCCTATAAGAAAGAGCTCGAGAATCGCCACAAAGAACTCGAACTATTGAAGCGTCCGATGAAAGTGAGTAAAGCCGAAGAACCCAAAGAGTGTCCGCCGATTGTCGACGAGATTTATGAGGAAACGGAAGTACAGGACAACGAATCGGTGGTCGACGACGAGACGGCTCACCAGACAGTCTGCGATGCCTTCCAAGAGATCGAAGAGTACTCTAACGAACAGTCAGACGATGACAACAATTATGATATTAATTCACAGAAAAGTGAATCCAAGTTAATATCGGATAAGAATGTGGACATCGAGTACGAGAGTCCCACGAAGAAGAACCGATTGTATCCGCAATTGGATGACGAGCTCAACGAACTCTACCCTCAATTCCGTACGAGTGAGCCGTTGGATGAGTCGAGTCCTCCCGCGAAGCCTCCGCGTGTGTACGAAGAGTCCACTCAATCGACTTCAGAGTCGACTCCTTTGCGGACAATCAGTTTCTACCGAAGAGAACAGTCTCTTAAGACCAGCACTAATACGACTCCTTCAGTGGGAACGGTAGGGGTTGGCCTCAAAGACAAAGTGAACGAAAAGTACAATAATTTGGATGTCACTGAACGCAACCGAAAGATAAAGAAACAAATCGATCGTTTGAAACAAGAAGTGGAGGAACAGAATAGGATCGCTGGTCAGGCCAGTCAGGCACTGAACCTGTGTCTCGAAACTCAAGAGTTTAAGGGATCCATAGAACACGTGGAGGCAGAGAAGGTTCTTCTCGTTTGTGGTTTGTATTCATAAGACATTTGAGAATATCTGAAGACTTATTGTTTGTTATATTTTTAGGTCAAAAACGAATAGCATTTTTGAATGAAATCCAAAGACTGAAGATTAAATTGAGTGATAAAACGATGGAAATGGACGCAACCAAAGGATCGCTCACTCTCTATAACATCAAAATCCCAATTAAAGGCGACTTCCTGGTCGCACGCGCTAAGGGCACCGGTATGTCACGTCTAATAAGTGACTGTACTGTATTATAGATCTAATTGCTCACTGTTTTCTAACAGTTTCAGACGTTCACCACTTCATAAGTGTGGTCTACAACGGTCCCAATGTGTTCGTAACCAATTTGTTGAACACTGAGAAAGACATCAAAAACGGAACCCTTGAGTTCGAGTTTGGCGTCAAATTGACTGATCTGTCCAATGAGTTCCAAGTGGTTGTCCACGTCTATGACTTGATGACAGCCA